TGACCACAAGATTTTGTTGGCGATCCTGGGTAAGATTCGGATACTAAGAATGTAGTGAAACTCCAAAGTCTTTTAATTTCAGGTAATATAACTATTATTTCAGGATCTTTAATTAACTTTCGAATCAGTTAACTCATTAGACAATTATTACGGTAACTTATAAAGTACAAAAATGACTTGTAGCTATAATAGCTATGTATATATAATACTAATCCGTTATTCTTTAAAATTTGAGGAATTTACTAATAAGGACGGAAAGTGAAAATAATTACAAATACGGGCCCAAATTAAAAAGAATTACATAAAAGAGCCTAATTTTTAAAAAATATTACATATAAGGGCCCAAAATAACAGGGTTATTGTTATAACAAACTACTATGATATCAAGTAAAGCACTGCGAATTGAAATAACATTTACTAATATGAAGATAATTGTTCTGCTCTTGAGAGCTACTCTGTTGAAACTTCATCGTCTTATAAATAATTGTGCTAGTTTAGCACTATTTTTTATATAATATTTAAGTGAAAATGATTGTAACTAGCGTTACATTTATTTTTTTTTTTAACTAATAATTGATATCTAGATAACTCTAAATGCTTATAATAAAACAAACAATACCTCAATAATCGCGATTTTGCTATTGTTATAAGTCAAATGGTCTTAGTACTTTGTGGTATAGTAGTTCCGTGATCACGTTTTTCATCCATCAATAGACTTAGGCCCTTATATATAATATTTTTATTTTCACTTTCCGGGTCTTTATTTCAATTTATCAAAAAATTGGACAAGAATGGGAATACTAATAGAATGATTTATTTTTATGACAGAGCTTGTTATCATATGGAACTAGACCTGGAGGTTTCATAGACCTAATTGTATGTAATTTAAAAAATTATTTATATGCTAAATTTGGTAAACTTCAGGTCTGAACCTAACCTAAAATTGCCAATTAGAAGAGATCAAAACAATCAAAAACGATCACAAATTTAAATTTCTTGATTTTCATAATTATAAATTTTTTTTTTAAAACCCATCCGGTTATTAAAACATATAAAAAATTTCTTTTACAAGTTTTCGAATTTTGACCCAGTCGGGTTATGAAATCAATCAATTAATTTTGCATGGAATCATTACCTTCGACGTTAGTATAGTGGTTCATTCTATAAATCGAAGATGACCGATCTAATTTCAATGATTCTATGCTTAAAAATAATGCTACAACCTCTTGGATTTGTTTTAAGATAGTGGAAATAGATCAGCCGTTCTCGAAATATAGCCATTAAACGGTGCCAAATATTAAAATTAGAATCAGAAAAATAAATAGTTATCTTCCCGATATTTCACGAACAGCTAATCCATTTTCAATGACTTTTGTTTAAATGAATACTATGAACGTTGGCATTAATTTAAATCTAAATCTATTTAAAAACGGTTCCCATTCTTGAGCATCGGAGCATAACTGCGAATGATCATTGTTATGCTTAATTTGGTATTACGGGAATGGTAAGGCATACCGGTTAAGGATTTCGATATTGGATGTACTGTTGGTTATGAACTATCAAAGTTGGTTACTAACTAACGGAGAGAGTCAGTAACTAGCGGAAGGAGTTTCGAACCAATAATATAAAGAAAAGTATATAAACAATACATCCCTAGTTAGAGATTGGACCCGATTAGAAAATCTCTACTCTGGTATTATTACCTGGGTCCAATTCCTATCCCTGGTGTTTTTGTGGAATAATTCGAATAACGATCAGAATAGAAATAATATCATGTGATACCTTAATATCTCTTGTAACATAATGATCCTTAATCCACAGCCCTAAAATAAAATCTTAAACATTATATATTTACCCTTTGTTAACTATCGTTGTTGGATTTGTAACACAATATTCGTAGTTGTATCCAAACGGTAGACCATGTGATAATATTCATATATAAAGCATTCGTATTAGAAAGGCGCCCATTTTTACATATAAACAATTTTGAGTAAATCGAATTTAAATGATTTTCAAATAGGAACATAAAATTTTTTACTTTAAGTTTATTTTGTGGCTGTTGCTTATGGCAAACTTTTTTATTGAAAATATATTTATTCAAAAGTCAAATCAAAATAATTTTGAATAATTGTCAACATGGCCCTTTAATATGGGACACCCATATGATTAATCCATTTTTCAATAATCTTGCGTTTACGTTCCAGTTTCGCGTGATAGCATCGCTTATTAAAGACAATTAGATCGTGAACGTATGTACCCATCATTGATTTGATTGAATGAGTTTCATGCGACCATAATCAACCATATCGGAAACTTAAATAAATGGGTGGGTTATTGGATATTACTTATGGGCATGGATCAAATGATTTACTGTCATAGAGCAGCACAATATGATTGTGCACTATGTATCTTTTTTCATATAAATATATTATAAACTTTAAAACGTTATAACTCTTTTTTTACTTAAACAAATCTACTACTCTAACTTACAAGCTATGCATAAAATTAATGTGGTTTTAATATTATGTTGCCAAATTTTCAATTTACTTATAAGATTTATCGATTTTCAACATAATTTTAAAGCCATGTTAATTTATGCATAACTCATACGTCACGGTAGCAGATTTGCTTAAGTAAAAAAGATGTATAACGCTTTAAAGGTAATAATATTTTTCTATAAAAAAATCGAAAAATTTTACATAGTGCGCCAATATTACTATATTTGATTTATTATAAGTTAATAGTAATAATAATTATTGTTTTTCCTTAAAATTAGTTTTGAGATTTATGGTCAGATAAAATAGAGCACCAGAAAATAATTACTGATAATAATAATAATAACAAATTACTTACATATGCATAATATTTAATTAAGTTTTAATGATAAAAGCTAAAGAGAAAAAACCTTAACAATATATAGATAAGTTGATTTATACAAATAATATTAATACATAGATAAGCGCTAATAAAAGAAAACAGGGTTTTGGCTTTGAATTTTCAAGGTTGAATTGATTTTTTATAAGTTCAAAAACCTGAAGTTTGGTTTTTTTTTTTAATAGTACTCTAATACAACTGAAAGGCTATCACTTTGTTGCTTTTGTAAATTTTTATACGTATAAGCATGCTGTGCTTAATAGTCATACACAGAATATTTTGATTCACCAACATGGTTCAATCTTTCCAAAGTCTTAGAGGATTTTGATCTTCGCTGTGTTTGACTTTCTTCGATTAATCTTTGGTATAAGTGAGCAAATATGATTATTATATAATTATACGTACCATATATAAATTAACTAGTTTGAACTAATTTAAGAGTTAGAATTAGGGTTAGAATATAAATTAGTTAGGTTTTATATATTATAATCTTGTAATAATTTATATATTCCCACCTATACTAAAGAAGATCCCTTTCTTCAAGTGTTTTAGTTTTACCAGGGGTTTCGTCAGAGTTTCGACATTTCACCAGAGTTTCGCCAGTTTCGATTTTCGCCACTTACCAAAAATAGTTTCGCCTAACAATAGTATGACAGGTTATCTGTTTTAACAGGATCAGTTACGTATTCTGATTTGTATTTTTTATAAGTTATTTTAATCAATATGTGCATACCAATTTGATATGATAAAATAATTGTGACAAAAAAATTTTGGAATCAGTTTAGTATTATATGAAATATTCAATAAAAGACGCGTTTACTATAAAGTTATGAAGATTTTTTTAGCAATATCATTAATAGTTCTGAATGAAGTTTAGTATAAGCAGTGTATAAAATCAATATGCACATATTTTTTGTAAAGTTACATATAAAATTTTAACTTGTGTACATATTTTGTAATTTAGATTTTATACACTGAGTATAAGGGAAATTATAATGAAATTTTTAAAAAATATATAATTAAAAATTCAAAGATATATATTATAAAAGAAATTTACTATCATTACCCATAACGATAAAGTATAATACCCGGTATAATGTTTATGTAGCAAAATATTTTTCAAAAATAGTTTTCTTAATAAAACTCTCGTGTAACAATGGCTCGTAGGGTCATTTTACTAACAAAGATCCCAATTAAGGTTAGGGTTAGATTTAGAAACATGTGCAGCTATATGTAAAATTAGGTGTTGACCAATTTTACTTAAGATACCTACATTATGGTTTCCTTAGTAAAATTTGAGATACTAGTGATTTTTGATTTTTTTTCTTATCCCGGGTATATTACCACCGGGTACAAATAGTAATTCTCTATATTATTTTAGACCGCGTTATTCACTAAAATTAAGTAATGAAATAATAGGTGTCAAAATGTACTATTGCCGATACTGTAGCACGATTCTAAAAGCATTGATAGTCACGTGAGTACATAATTTAATCATTCTGTTTACGAGGAATAATTACAAACAAAATTCTTTCATATACTTGCATGATAGGATTAACTTACGTAGTTATACGCATTATCATTGGAAGCTGAAAATGATATAATTATACATTTATGCAATATGAATAAATCTTGGTAATAATCTTGGTAAACATACATAAAACGATCATGATGCATCTAACAAATCGCATGTTTATAATATTATGCTGGCATTTTACCGTGCACTCACCATGCAGATTACCAAATATGGTTTACTTTTAATTCATCGAAATTATAACAGATCAGTATAGCATAGGCCGAAATTAAAAGAGAGTAAAAGCAATACTATACTGATCAGTTATAATTCTAGTATATTTAGCACCGGATTAGTATGATATAGATTCTAAAATTCAGCTTATACTATATTAATCAGTTATAATTCCTAACGCTAATATAGATTCTAAAATTAAGCCTACGTATAACCTATATTGATCTGCACATATATATTATTTATTTACGTAATATAGCATAGTGATCGGCGAAATGCGTCCATCTCTAGTAAAGGTTCAGTTCGTGGTTTTCGTATCAAAAGTATATAAGCAAAGTAATTTCATAACTATTTGAATAGACTTGAAAAAACTTTTAAAATGATTTCGGAATACAAAAAAATATTAAAACATTTAAAAAAAAAATTAATACTTTTGCGAAAAAATAAAAATAGAAGGAATAGAACAGTTAGTTTAATCCATTCTCCCACTCTCAAGGAATTATCAGAAAAGAATGAAAGAAGTCAGTTATCAATTAAAATCATTAAATACGTTGACGAACTCTTGTCTGAATATGGTGATGCAATTTGGCCTGAATTCTTTAAAAATCCTCTCGAGCCTGCCCAACATACCGTTGATGCAGCTAATGACTCAGATTGGATCGGGTATGGGGATATATCCATGTCTCCTTATGATACCGCATGGGTCGCAATGATTCCAAATAAAGTTTATAAAGAATTGAAATCTTCCAAAGATTTCAGCCTAGCGTTTCCTCAATGTTTTATATGGCTCTTTGATAATCAAGATGACAACGGTAGTTGGGCAGGTAACGGTGCTGGTAGCATAGCACCAGGACTTGCCGGCCTTCTTGCGCTCTGTTTTTTCCGGTCTCATTCCGGTGAATATTTTGAAACAAAATTGAATGATTTGGGACTAAATATTGTAACTATCATGCATAATATGAAGATTTTTGAGTAATGTATGTTGTCAATATTTCTTAAACTCGTCTTGACAACATTGATCTTATAGGAACAATTTACCATAATTTTTGAGAAAGCCACAAAATTCCTACAAAATACGTATGTACCTATGTTAACAATTTTCATTCAGTATTGTGGACCCTATTATGTGAATAACACAATTCTTTATTAGACTGAATGAATGGAACATCGACGACCTTGACATGACAGGTTTTGAATTAATAATTCCCTATCAGCTGTCTGTCTTGGCACGACTTGAAAAACCAGTTGTGTTTAATTTCCCTGAAAAACAACGACTTTTACGAGAAAATGAAAAAAAATTAAGCCTTATTTCTCCAGAAGCGATCCTCACTTTAGCAAAAAACAGACAACCCACGACCCTTACACATTCTATTGAAGCATTTTGCGAAAAAATTGACTTTTCATTAATCCAAAATGAAGGCTTCCAAGCGATTAATGGTAGTTATGGATCCTCACCAGCGGCTACTGCTTCTGTGCTTTTACATGCACCAAAATGGGATAATAAAGCGTTTGAGTTTTTAAAAAAAATAATTTCCCAATGTCCATCCTATGCTAAAAGTCATGGACTTGTTCCTACTTTAAGTGATATAGGGATATTTGAAACAACTTGGGTAATGCATTCTATCGGAGATTTATGCCTTGATATTCGTGCAAATAAGAACGTTAATTTTGAGGAACAATCAATTATTAAGCTTTTCTCTAAAAGCCACACATTTATTAAATACCTTTCTGCGTTAAACAAAATACAAGGCGGCACTCTTCGATGGGCTAGTTGGGACAATAGGATACCAGCAGATGTAAATTTTTTTTTTTTTTTTTTTGTTATCTTATATTTCTGATCACTACAAATAAATAATTAAAATTTTAAATCTGAATCACTTCTAGGTTGACGATTCAGGTGAATAAAACGTTTCACTTTATGAATTTTCATTTCTCCAAAGTGATAAATTTATTAACAATAAAAATAATAAAAATACATTTCTTTTTTTCAGTTGTAAGTAATTGGCTTATCAGACAGTTTGATCCTTTTAGTACAATCGACCTTGATGTTATCACAAAAACCTTTTATAATGGCAAATATTTCAAAAGTTTCCCTAGTGGTATGTACACTTCAAAATAATTGTAAATTTTTTTATTTTTTTTTATTTTTTTGACAATTGATTGTATTACTTTATTTCTTAGAGAAAACATTCTCGGTCAGCTGCAACGTACATACGGTAAACCTTTTGGTCTTGGAATATCAACGTGTTCAATCCAAGAACAAAATGATAACCATTCTTACAGTTGACAAAAATGGTGATACAAAAAAGGTCACTTTAGAAGAAGTAATTCCGACTGTAATAAAATTCATAGTCTCTCAACGAAAAAAGAATGGAATATGGTTGGATAAATGGAATAAAAGCCCGGCTTACACAACTTTTAAGGCAAATAATCTACTATTATCCTTGCAAGCTTATCCAAACCTACGCGCCAAATCAGGGTTTATCACAAACAAAGCACTTCGCGACTATTGCAGAAAAACTGTCGACTGGGCATTAAATACGCAGCATGAGGATGGAAGTTGGGGTGAACCATCGAGTACAGGACCTGGAAACCTTGAAGAAACGAGTTATGCTATTAGATTACTAAAGACTGCAGCCAAAAATTGGTGTGATGATAAAACAATTCGAACGGCATTACATGCTGGTAAAAAATATCTTATTAAATATCTTGATGAGTCGATGACAGACCCAGGATATTTTCATACAAAACAACCGTTTTTATGGATTAATAAACAACTTTATACCGCACCTAGGATCATTAAAACATCTATTCTTACATCCCTCTGGGAGGACTAAAAAAGTATTGAATTATTCCTCTAAGTTTGTTTGGCACGTGATAGCATGAAATAACGAAACTTGTATTTTAGAAGACTTCACGTTCTCAGACGGAAATTTACATACGTACATAAACATAAACACGTTATAATGTGATAAAGTTTTAAAAAATTCTTCCTTGATTCACAAAGTGAACGGATAATATCATGTTGCATTTACGTACATATGTACAGAAACACTAAATGATTGGTAAATGCATTCAATAGAAATAGAAAACATAACTGTCATCAAACACATTGTATTAATTGTATTATTATCATTGGTCATCTGATTATTAAAATTTCTCATGCATGCATCGGAATTTTATCAAATGGTTTCTTTATTTATATTTAATGTATTCAACGTTTTAATTTATCGTTATTTGTGTTTGTTTTATTAATTATTATATAGTTACAATTCTTTAATCTATAATTTATAGAAGACTTATTAATTAAATTCACGTGGCCCATGCATATACTATATAATACAATAATACTTAGGTATCAATTTGCGGACCTTATTGTATTTAAGCTTAATTTCATATATTTGAGAAAATTTTCTATTTCTTTATGCTGTAATCTCTTATATTGCATCATTCTATCTCCTTCACTATTCGGGTTTGGATTATATGAGATAATATCGGTTCAGGGATTTCTTTGCCTCCCCATTTCGTTTGTGAATACCACCACCATCTTTCATTAAATGATGGTCGTGATATGCATCCATAAGACTGCTAATTGTAGTTTAACTCATGTTAGAAGTATCCTCAGGTGTACGTTAGATTTAAGTAAACTTTTATTACCATTTAAATTGAATAGGAATAATTTTATAGTGAAAGAGGTCCGGGTTTATTACTTGAATATATTCTGTTCTTTGGGATTTGTCAATCGTAATGAGCTTTGGGTTATATATTGTATATTGTATTAATAAGTTTTGTGTTTATTCGTAATAAATACCACTTTTACCCTACTTTACAAGTGTCCAAGTATCTACCTATTCTTTAAATAAATTAATTCTTTTTTGTATATTTATTAATTTATATGTTTCTTCATATGAGTTTTTTTTTTTAGCTATATTAAAATGAATGAATCTTTTAAAAATTATGTAATCTATTGTTAATTATCACGGGTGATCACGGGTAGACACGAACCAGGCGATGTCCAAAAAATCAGTTACGTAGGGTTGTTAATGGAGTGACATACTCTGAAGCAGCTCTGGAGCGAGCCCAACCCAAGTTGGAGTGAGTTGAAAATACGAATAATATGTTGGAGTGATACTGGAGTAAACTGGAGCAGCTATAAGTAAATCTGGAGTGGCTCTGGAGTGAACCCAACCCAAGTTGGAGTGGGTTGAGAAATATCTCAACCTAAACTACTCCAACCCAACCCATTAACAACCCTACAGTTACGGTTTAAACTCAATCAAATTTATAGCTCCGAGGAAACGTCGATGTTACACACTGATCCTTCGTTCCGCAGTACAGTAGACGGCAAAAGTAACTCCCGATCTAATAAAATATATATACCGTATATGGTATAATAACATTATGATTTAATAAAAAAAATACTTAATTGGTACTGGTAAAAATCATATATGATAAAATACAAATGTCAAATTTTCTAACCATATAAAATAAAAAAATATTTATTATTAAAATTCTTTATTTTTAATAGTTTTAAAAAATTGTATTTTTATTATGTTTTTACTATATAAATTTTACAAAATTTTTTTAAGGTTTTGAAAGTGACATCTTGCCTGTATGTCTTTATTAGGATAACATATGATTACATTATTATATACAAAGTCTATTAATGAAGCTAAACTACCCCAGGATCGCCGTCAAATTTTCACTTTCACGTGATGATCATCCAATAGTGTATTTCGTTTTAATGTAACGTTACACGATCAGGAAGATCAAAACAAAACGTTCGCTTTTCAAAAATCACTTATTCCTCAAAAACTTGCATAAGAAACCACCTTTTGAGCTCTAACAAAAAAAAATTCCTCGAGTGATTTTACTATTACCCTTCTAAAACTTAGCCCTATTATAAACGATAACCCTAACTTAACCGAATTTAAAGATATTTAAACGCGGTCACGTGAAAGTGAAAATTTTGATGGCGATACTGGGGAAGATATGAAGCTACAATTAGTCACATGTACAACTTTAGTCATTGTTTATTTAAAGGTTCCACCTACAGGTTACTTACCAATTGTTATACCTAAAATTCACCTGAGTTTCCTATTTAAAGTCTCTGATTTTCAACACTATTGCATATACAGTATATGCAAGTCTTATATTACCAATTTAATGACATTTCAGGTTAGGACTACCTGGTTACTATTTATATCAAGGTAACATCCTATTGGATGTTACCAAGTATTCATAACCCTCAATTCATTCTCGACACAAACTTTACTAAGTATAGTATCAAGATTACCTCTTAGATTTATCTAACTTCAATATATCTTATATTTACTGAAACTGGTATTAGTGTTAGAGGTGTTCAAATTTTGATAAGTTTATTCCTTTCCTATAGTTTTCTTTTATGTTTATTATATCACTTGCTAGTGTGTCTTCTCTCCATTTCTGATATGTTCTTTGTTTTTCTCACATCAAGTGTTAACTTTTTATATTAGAAAGCTTCTTTCTAAGAATTTTCTTATACACTGATCTTCTAATCATATGAACTTAGTTACAGGACTTTATATATATTCATATACTTCTATAGATTATAAAGTTTTGCCTCTACCTAGAATTGAACCATTGACCTTGTCTGTGGAAGGAGGGGTGTCTAGACTACTAGACTATAGGACCCTATTTTTTTATAAATTTTACAAAATTTAATTATAAACTTTATATTAAAACTTAATATTTTTTTAAAATAATATTTTTTAATTTATATTACTTATAAAATATGACAGTAATACAATTAATAACTATAATTTAAATTTTTTTAAAATTTTATATTAAATTTTAAAATTATATTTATAGTTTATATATAAAATTTTAGATTATAAACTTTATAAATTAGAATGTAATGATTTAGTGAAGTGGATAAGTTGTCATATTCCCAAGTGATAGGTTGTGAGTTCAAAATCTACTGATGGTAAAATTTGAATAATTACCTATGTACTATATAGACAGTATTATAGCAATAGTATTTTGTCAATCAGTAGAATATAATATCTGTAACTATAGTCATACTAGCATGATTAGCAGGTTTGGGACATTTATGCAACTTGTTATACTAAGAAATGCAAACTAGTATCAGGTGATGCAAACCTAAAATAAGTCCTCAGACTGTATAAATCTGTAGAACTGGGAAGTCAGAGCTTATTTAGAAATTCTGAACAGAAAAGTAATACAGATCTTTGACAGTACTACTGTAAAGACTAGATCTAGGAAATAGATACCAATATGAAGGAATTGGATAGACAAGAATCTTGGATAAAGAGTACTATCAACTAAACTGTTGAATTTCAGATCAGTAAAAAAAGATATTGGGTTAGCCTCAATATAATAAGGACAGATTATAGTCCTTCTGAGCTATCTGAATTGGAAGTCTAAGATCAAAGTAGAGGTATACTAAAAGTACTAGAGATATGTTATGAAGTCAGTACTAGAATCTGGTTGAACTCTATAAGAGTAGCTCTTGTTAGTGTTCTAAAAATAGATAAATAGTTAACAATAAGGACTTTCTGTGTTTTATTGACAGGTAATATACTCTAAAATGTGTAATAGTCTAGAAATCAGTACAAAAAGAGTAGGTATTATACTGCTTAGATAGTATACTAGTTAGGTATATACAAGGGTTAGTTGGGGTTATATCATAACAGAGCAAATGATTAAAGGATTTAAATAGATAATCTCCTAGTAGGTTATAGATATAACATCTAATATAAAACCTTAGGATAAACTACTTAAATAGACAACCGAAAGTTGTATATGTGACTAGTTATATTTTCATTTCTGTAAAAATAGTTGTAATAGTTAACTCAATAAAAGTCAATAAAGTATTGTCATAAAGTATAATCTTTAATAAAAAAAAAAAAACTTTATAAATTAAAAAAAGTATAAACTAATTTATTTGACCAATAAGAATTATATATTATAAAATATAAATATTAAATTTACTAATTATATAAAATAAAAAATTTTAAATAGAAATATATTTATAAAATTTGAATTTCTTATATGTTTTATTATAAAAAAATTATAAAGTATTGTTTTTATTACTTATTGTATATGTTATAATTATAATCTAATATTATTTTATTATAATAAAAATAATATTGAATTATAATTATAATATGTACTATGATTTAGTATTGAAAATTATTTTTTTTATATATTATATATTAAATAAAAATTAGTTATATATTATTAATATTTTTTTTTGTTTTTTAATAGTTTAATATATATTGTTATAAAATAAATAATTACTATTATTTTTTTTATTTTTTTTTAATATTAAGATAATCCTTTTGGTCTTTTAACTTTTATTAATAACTTTTTGGTAATATAATTTTATGAACTACTATAGAAAAGTATACAATTAGTTATATATGTAACTTTTCTATATTATCTATTTAAGAAGTTTATTTAAAGATTCTACACTAATTGCTGTATCTAATATCTTTGTTTAGATGTTTTACTTTAAACCCTCTGAACCTGTAATTTGTATTAACTTACTAGGTTATACTCAGATATTCAAATTATCATCTCAATTTTAAAACTATTTTATTCTTGAAATAAATCTTTCAGAACCTTCTGTATTTATTTTTACAACTGATCTAGATATTGCTATAACAGAACCAACACTTGTACTTAGAGTTATATTATTTAATTACTATGCTCTTGTAAAGTTTATATAGACTTCAGTATCTATTTTATAGCATAACTCTAGTATTTTAGTATATCTTTGTCTTTTATTCAGTCTTTTGTCTAAACTTTTAATCCAGATAGCCTGTATAGAACT